GTTAATTTGAATTTGAATGCTTTAAAAAAAAGTGTCATTGTCAATTTTAATTGGGTTTGGGATATCCTGTTTAATTATTGATTACTGTTAATTTGAATTTGAATGCTTTAAAAAAAAGTGTCATTGTCAATTTTAATTGGGTTTGGGATATCCTGTTTAATTATTGATTACTGTTAATTTTAATTTGAATTCTTTTAAAAAAATGTGTCATTGTCAATTTTAATTGGGTTTGGGATATCCTGTTTAATTTCTTCTTAAGTTTTGTATTATATGTTTCTTTTAATGTTGTACACCGCCCTGAATCCTTGGGAGAAGGGCGGCATATAAATCGAATAAACCTAAACCTCTTCTTTTTTTTTTAATGGGGAGTTAGATTTAAGGCACAAATAGATAACTGAAACAATATAATATGTCTTTAAAGATATTTTGTCATTCTGCTTGGGGAGAAATGTGGTATTTAGATTCAGTTGCGTGTCTTTTGCTGTTTCTCTATAAAATTATTAACCCAAAGGTGTTTTGTTTCAGCACCAATACCTAATGTGTGTGTGTGTGTGTGTGCGTGCGTGCATGCATGTGTGTGCACCTCCAAATCAGTGTTGATTTCTGGCAACTGCTTAGAACAGTCCTTGCAGTTTTCTTGGCAAGATTGTGGGGAATGGTTTGCCATTGTCTCCTTCCCAAGGCTGAGAGAGAGATTAGCCTAAGGTTACTCAACTGACTTTGGGGCTAAGGTAGGACTAAAATTCATAGTTGCCTGGTTTCTAGCCTGGTACCTTAATGACTATATAAAACTGTCTCTTGTACTTAATGCACAATAAGAAAACTTGTCCGTACAAGTTATTGCTTTTTTTAGTTTGCTGATTTCATTGGATTTTTGATTCATACAATTTCTCTTTTTCTTTCCAGGATGGGTTACTTATACTTCACTATGGACTGATTCTTAGTGGAGATTCCACATTTTCAAAAGTCTCTTAAATTTTCAGAAGATATTTGAAAGAGAGAACATGAGAGAACTGCAGCAAAAAAGAGGGCCATTTTATTTAAATGAATTTAAAGAAATGCACTGTGTTTGCGCTGCATAATAATTAAGGAAGTGATTTAAAGCATTTGAGAAAAACAAACAACTGTACCAGTAAGTAAGCTGTAAATACTTCAGTGCTCTTGTATCATCAGCGCCGAGCTCAGGGAAGAAGCAGCATATCAACGTAAGAGAATTCATTCTAAATATGTAGGTCTTGCGGCATTCATGACTAATCCATGAGCAGTGTTGTACTTGAAACTACAATTTATCCAAAAGTATTTAAGTATATTTGCAGTACTGTTCTCAGGGTTGATCTCTTGAACCACAATGTCTTATTGGGAAATACATGCATTATTCATAGGGGCATTTGAATTTTATTTTAGTCGTTAGTTTAGAAATAAAACGACTTTCAGATTTTTCCCTATAGATAAATTGGGCTAATCACCCTTTACAAATTGCAAGCATTTCTATCTCATGCCTTATATGAAAAATATTGAAATACATAATATACCAAATATTAGAACAGGAAAAGAAATAAATCTATGTTGTGTATAGATCATCACTGGTTGAATAGCAATGTAAATGTAAAGGTAGATGAGACAATGAATTGGGCTGCATTGGAACAGGTGTTCCACTGTTGTTTGTACCTCCAAGGTCAGTGGGAAAATAAATGGACTATATGCTTTCCAAATATTTACAACAGTAAACTTGTTCCTCAGGTAGTAAATGTGCACTTAAATGATAAATAGGGAGCTGGATGAATAGTAGCAATAACAACCAGAATAATGGTCTTATTAAAAATATTAATTTGATTAGTTTACAGCTAATAGATTAAAATGAAAAAAATGAAATACATCAGATATCAGAAAAAAAGGCATAGAAGCATTCAGCACAAGAAAGATATGGCAAGATTATTGAAAAGCAGTGAGAAATTGTTAACAATTATTTTGACTGGGTTTGGCATGGGATTGTATTGCCTCTGACTTTTTTTAAAAAATTATAAACTAATTTTAGTTGCAACAACATAAGCTTTCTGGAACAAATGGGTGAAATACAAATATTAAATCTTTGCTTCCCCCATACAACAACCCAAATTCTTAAAGAGTGAAATATTACAGTGTTCGTTACTTTTTTTAAGTTGATCAAGTAAATAAATTAGTTAATGGTTACCTCAGTTTGTAAAAATATCAATATTGCAAAATTTGTTATAAGCAGACTATTGAAATTGGAATTAATGCAGAATAATAGGCTTTTCTGACAGAAAACATAGCATAACTTTTGTAGTGAGAAATCTGTATTGCCAAGTAGAAATATTTCTGGAGTGCCAACTAGGGATGCTGCATTACATATATTTGAATATCTAAGTAGGCACAGTCAGGAAGCTAATTTAAGTTTTCAATCTGCTACCAGACCTTATTTTTACTTTGTTGCAAAGATTGTTATGGACTCATGAGAGGATTGTCACAAATGAAGCATTAAGTTCATGGAGAGAAGTATGGAGTGCTTCCCCCCCCCCTTAATAATCAACATATTTCTTACCGATACATAATGTACCCACAAATGTTCAAGCTTTGGTTGAGCAGTATAGTGGCCAAGTTCTGGTCATTATCAAATTCAGTTTGAGTTTCTGCATGTATTATTTATGGATCTGAAATTTGTACAGAACATGTTAATTATAAAAATCAAGAAAAAATGAACAGAAAAACTAATGCATTGCATGGGTATTTCATTTAAAGAAAACAAGTGAGGCATTTCAGAGGGAAGTGGTATGGAGAAAACAATTGAGCACTTTTTTTTCTTGTAAAGCTAGAGTTAGCAATAGCAATAGCAATTAGACTTATATACTGCTTCATAGGGCTTTCAGCCCTCTCTAAGCAGTTTACAGAGTCAGCATATTGCCCCCAACAACAATCCGGGTCCTCATGACCATGCACTTAGCTATACCCAATTAAGAATAGCTCCAAGAAACAAGAGGCTTGCCTTTATATTGCATATGGTAAACTTTAAGAATTCACTGTCTAAGAGGTACACCACTCGTATAGATGGGTTTCTGTTAGCCTTTTCTGTATCTTCAGAATCAGAGAGAGTATGTTGCAGAGTATTGCAAGAAAGCAATCGTTCCAAAATCTGCATTTGGGCTTTATTGAGACACCTTTCATCCTTCAGGACTTTTTCTTTCTTTATACTTGGAGCACTTTCAGTAATCAGTCTAAACCAAAACGTTTTTCACATTATACATTGATTATTGGGATGGGATGCATAAAAACAAGAGCGATCAAGTCTGTCTGCTGGTGCAGTTTTCAGAATTTATATGTACCGTATATTGCATATATTGCACATCACACAGTATTTTGGAAGGCTCTATTATTTCTCTCTTGAAGAGGAGTCTGCATTCCAAACTGATATTTGAATAAACTATTCAAATATTGGAAATGCACTACTTATTTCATTAAAAAATGAAGCTCCACGGTGGAATATGAATTTCCCCCCAAATTCATTAATTCGATTGCAAAGGATATAGAAGTTCATTATATCTGTAAATCATATGTGCAGTGTTAGATGAGCTTATTTGTAGTGTTCTCTTTTGTTTTTCCCCTTCATCTATATATTATTCTGCATGAAAAAATACCTCCCCAAGTTATCATTCCAAATTTTGCCTTATCAGGTAAATATAAAATATTTTATTACATCTTGGTTATTCAACATTTGGAATTTTATCACAATGTTGAAGCACATTATGATGTTGATATATATTTTATGTGCTATTATCACAATTGTAACACATGTAGGGGATCATGTTGATACCAATACATTTCACATTCATTTTTCCCTCTAATAAGTATAATCTTTATTGTCATTGTACTTAAATACAACAAAATTGGTTTTAGCTTCACTGGTGCAAAATTATAACAGAAATGAAAACAGAAAGAAAAAGAAAAAAACTAGTGTGCGCATGGAGTGATTGTGGTTGTATTTAAAAGTCTCACAGCCCAAAGATAGAAACTATCTTTAAACCTGTTTGTTCGGCTGGCTATACTTTGATGCCTTCTGTCTGATGGTAGAAGTGCAAAGAGACATTGACCAATCATCTCTTGAGTATCTTCCTTACTCTGCTAAAGCAGCGAGATCTGGCGATGTCATCCAGTAGTGTCAGAGGGCAACCAATGGTTTCTTGTGCCAAATTGATCACTCTCTGTAGTGCCTTCCTGTCCGCAGCTGTTAAACCAGCATACCATACTGTCATACAATATGTGAGGACACTTTCTATGGTGGACCAATAGAAAGAGGTCATCAGCCATTGTTCCACTTGATTTTTTTGCAGGACTCTAAGGAAATGAAGTCTCTGTTGGGCCTTTCCAATCACCAGAGACGTGTAGTTTTTCCAGGTGAGATCTTGACTAATAAGCACTCCCAAGAATTTAAAGAGGAAACCTTCTCCACACAGCCCCCCTTGATATACAGTGGGACAGGTTCCTCTCTCTGCTTCCAGAAATCTAGCACCATCTCCTTTGTCTTACTAGTATTCAATCCATAAGATTGAGACAATTCCAACATATTATCACAAGAATTACTTAGAATCCTTTTATATCCATGCTTCGCATATTCTTAAACATTTTTCAGAAGTTTCTTCCAAGATCAAAATAATGATGGCCATTCTGCCCCCACCGCCATTCTGTGGCATTCGTCTTCCAGTTGTAAGATTAAATACATGCATATATAAATATATAAATTCATCTTACAGGGTCATTATGAAAGCAGTGTGGAATATGGAAATCTTACACATGGTTATAACTGAAAGCATTTTATGGTTTCATTCTTTCACTTTTAGTCATTGGTCCTTTCCATACAAATAAACTTAGATATTTATTGGCTTTAATATTCTTAATACCAAAGTTTAGATTCACAATATCACAAATGACAAACAGGCTGCCTAAAGTGGTACATTTTTTATTATTAATTTGTGCCTTAGAGAAGAAAAGTGTATTAGTTCGAGGGACACAAGATAGGACAAGGATTTGTATTATGAAACTTTGTGACAGGATGAATCAGTGCAAAGACATCAAATAATACAGTCTTGAATTTCTGCAGAAAGCAATTTAGTTGCTGGCAATTTTAAGGCATTCAAATAAAATCTAATAGTGTATTCTATATAAAACTTGGCACATGTTCAGATAGAGATACATAGTGAAGTTAAATTCTGATAGGAGATAGAAATCCGATTTATCAGAATTATCAAATTTGTTTAGATAATTTTATGTTGGTCTCTTCCAACCAAGTTGATTCTCGTGTCATTTGCTGCAGAAACATGAACTGAATCTGCTACTTCTTGGAAATATAAGAATTTTTATTTATCTGATTTCAGCACCATTTGTTTATTTAAAAAAAATGTTTTTGTGTGTGTTGTGCATGTATATGGTTTTCAGTTATGATTGGCAAGGCTGAACAATTACATGCACCTTAACCAGTCAGAGCAAAATTGGAAGAACCACCAAAATTCACTAGTGCATTTTATTTGTGCAATAGTGAATGTGTGTAAGAAAATACATTTAGGAAAAGTCCCTCTCTTATTTAAGAAACCATATCTCAATAACTTATATAGAAGCCATATTGTTTTCCATAATACAGAAATAAGCAGTTGGCATAAATCTACATTTTTTTCTAATGATTAACTAACACATACATCCCTGTTTTAGGTTGTAGATTGTGCCTTATAGAAACAGCAACAATTGCTACTTTTGAATCAGCTTTTGTACTGTGCTTCTAGACAATATAGGAATACATTCCTTTAGCTTTGTTTTATATAAAGCTAACTTCTAAAACGTGTGTTTCTTTTCATTTTTTAATAGCTGGCACTATTGAATCTAAGCAACAACAACTTTTAAAATTGCTGGCTACTAATATGGCACAAGGTAAAATGGACATTGCAGTGAATTGTTAAGACAATCACAGAGATGGTCAAAAAACATGCATTCAACTAACACTTAACCAGGATCCTAAGATTCCTAATTATTTGACTATAGCATGTAGATTTTTTTAAGATGGGCATACTGAAAATAGTTGTGAGTAACCTTAGAGATAAAAAATGTATTATGTGTCTCTTGACAATGTGCTAATAGGATTTCTTTATGCAGTGATACAGCAAGTTTATGATTGGGATGTTCCTCTTCCTAAACCTTGTTCGCATTTTCTACCTAACATTCCTAGATAATTTTGTATTTCCTTGTAACGTGCATAGACCACAAAGTGAAATAAATATTTGAATTTTTTTACACCTCTGTGGTCCAGAATGACTAAAATGGAGTAAAGTTCATTATCTGGAAATTAAATAATTGAATTAATCTGTTAGTTTCTTTATTTCACAAGGCAGACAATAAGGATTAATCTTAATTTCACTGATGGGAATCAGTTGCTAGATTTTGCCCAACTGGAAAGTTGTGCTCAGCAGAAATCAATCAGAAACATAAGTTAGTAAGAATATATGTGTGTGCGTGTGTGTTAGCACGTGTTTTAATTCAGCAATTGGGAGACGTCTGCCTTACAGCAATACAATTGGCGAATAAGATTTACTGGAGTATTTCTAAATTAATATTTGAGCCTCTGTGTTTCTGATAGTATTGAACATAATGCTCCTGTTGAAATAATCTATGAAACATTAGAAAATTAAATTGATGTGAGCTGGGTAAGTACCTTAATTCAGGTATAGGCAATTTAAAGACTTAAGCTATATTCTTACCCCTTGTGTGTATCTATATTTAAGGTCATTGATTACATTTTTTGATTGTCAGTGCTTCCTTCTTCCAAGTTTGTTCTTTCAGTTTTTTTAGTGGATGTTATGGTTTCCTCTATCATTTCAGCAAAGGGGTCTCCTACCTGGCTTGATGAAATTTTTGAGGCTAATTTAGCTTCCTCTTTCTCATCTTTCTTAAAATAGAAAGAGGACATTTTAGAGCTGCTGGCTACAGATGAACTAAAGAGCCTGGGTTGGAAAGAGTAAGTAGGATTGGAAATGGGATTCAGAGATGAGATGTTCATGCTTGAAGTACTAAAACGTGTCTCCTCACCCTCCAACAGCTTCCTGCAAATACAACAAAAAAGATTTGTATTAATAATGGAAATTGAGGATTTTCAGACACACTTACATACACAGAGACACAGTAAACAGTGTCTGTTTTATGCAATAAGAACAAATTACCCTTAACAAAATAATCATATTCCCTGACTGTAAATGCAAAATTATGGCAAAGCATCCAAGGAAATAGGATCAAGCTATTAGGGCAACATAAATTTGATCGTGGCACGACAAAACCGTGGTCCACTAAAGCGCGCCCTATTAAAGCGCGTCGCTGACGTCATCAGCAGCGCAACAACGACCGCGGAGAAAAAAGGGCACTTTAAAAAGCGCTTTTAAAGCAAGCCGATTCACGTAAAGGTAAGGGTTAGGGTTAGGTTAAGGTTTAGGGTTAGGTTTAGGGTTACGTTAAGCGTTAGGGTTAGGTTAAGGGTTAGCGTTAGGTTTAGCGTTAGGTTAAGGGTTAGGTTTGGGGGGGTTAGGTTTAGGTTTATGCGTTAATTTTAGCTTTACCGCTCACAGCATGCTTTTTTCGTCGCGCTGTGATGACGTCAGGTACGCGGTTTCGTCGAGCGCGCTTTAGTCCACCGCAGTTTTTTGGTGGAACCAATTTGATCACCAATTTTGGGCATTTTCAAAATAGTAAGCATTACAATTCTAAGTAGATACTGAGAATCAAATCCTGGTTACCTGTATGCTGCTATCTCTATATCCAAGGCCATTTTGACATTCAGTAAATCTTGGTATTCTCTCAGATGCCGAGCCATTTCACTCTTTGTGTCTCTCAAATCACTTTCTAATTGGCTAATTGTATCCTGTAAATTCAGAGGGTTCAACATTAACATTTAACATTTCAAGGCCAAAGACTGCTAGTTTAATTCCTTTTTATCAGAAGCAAGAAAAAAACTGAAGTTTTGCTAATTTGTTGCAGAAAACACATAATTATTGGAAAATGAATTAAATCACAGCAATACAATTAATTAGAATCTTTTTTGTTTCAAACACCGTAAAATTATAGAAATATAGCCTTCAATACTGAGCAAATAAAATAGGTATAAAATAGATATTCCTATAAATCTACTAGGATAGAAATGCCATTTTATTATTTTTTTAAACCAATTAAACCAGTTTTCAGTTTTTGAATAAAACTCCCAGAACTCCTAATTTCTTGCTATATTGATTGGTCTAATAGGAACATTCTCTCCAATTGCTATATTAGAATAAGATTAAATAAAAATAATTATGGCAGCTCAATAGGCAATGATCATGTATTGTCTGTATTTGTTTCATTTAGTAATGTTTTTAAGGACTAGAATAAATAGTAAAGCAAGAGTAATATATTTGATGAATTCATGATGTTTCTAAGTTGTGTTCTACTGATATAAAACTATGAAATAATATTAATTTAATATGATTTCTGATGTGATTATTTTTATTTGATTCAATTATTCCAATTTTAGTTTAATGCTTTTAAATTACATTTTATTGAGAAAAAATAAGCAGGCAAGTTACAGATTTATATAAATTAGGCAAAAGCGAAAACCTCTATTCTGCAAGCCCCGAACTGATGGAAATTGAGACTGTGGATGTATATTAACCTTATTTGATGGTGTACACAATCACACATATACAGAGAATGGGCAAAAGATTATTGGCAGTTTTCAGGATAATCTCTCTGCACATATGCTTATATATCAAATAAAAACAAAATATATATTCAGGCTTGAAACCAAGAAAGGAAACATAATGCACTATCATTCGAGTCAGAAATATTGTACATGAATGTATTTCAAAATGTCATGCAGCATGTTTAATTCACCACTATAAAAATATATAAATTTGCATGTTTATATCCCATATGTAAGTAAGATACCATATATTTATAATTAATACTTGATCTTACAAAATCTTTTCATGGGTGTTTTAAGGCCATTCTATTAACAATGATCTAACCCTGAAATCTCACTGGATAGACTTGCTATAAAAAACACTGAATGACATTGGAGAATGCCCCTCTCCTCCCTCCCATCTCTCTTAGGTTTGGAAGCTGTAGTACAGGTGGAATATGATGAAACAGATTGACTCCAGGTTGGCAAAGGAGTGTGACAAGTTTATATACTCTCTGTGACTCAAAGTGCAGTATACGCTTAATGTGCTTTAAAAGAAACTGGATTAAATGAAAAATAAGAGTGGAAAATGAGAGCAAGAAACAGCAATAATCTGTGCTCTGTTGATCACATAACTCTGCTAGCTAAAATGCAAGGATCTGCAAGTGAAATTGTGGGCATGGTGAAAAAAAGGAGCCAAATTAAATATAAAAATACCAAACTAATGACATCATGTACAAAAAGCAGCCTTGGGATTGATAATGAAGCTATCAAAGTAATGGACAGTTTGGATCAATCTTGTTAGTGATGGACATTTTTAGGATCAACTATGAACAGTAAAGGAAAAAGCACTCAAGAAATGCATTTTACATTAGCACTCAGTAGTATGCATAAACTATAATGTATATTTGATCCCTAAACTACATAGGAACAATTATTTTAAACATTGTTTAAGGCAAAAGGTTGTTCCATCTGCTTGATAATTTTGGTTTTCCCTTTTTTCACATTCTTTATAGTTATGTCCTTTTGAGGTATGGTGAAGTAAACAATATGCACCATATTGTAAGTATAATCACAATGCAAAATAGTATAAGAGCAGTACAATATTGCAGATTTATTTTTGTTCTCTAATTGATAGTTTATAATTTTTCTTTTTTATAGCAAAGGCACATTGTTCTCATTGAGCTAATTATCACAAATCCATTTGTTCAGTTTTGCCAGTTTTGTGAAATTATATATTCCAATGCATTTGCCAATTTAATTTCTAATGCCCCATTTTGAAATATTCTTCTGGAATGCTTTATGTAGGTTTTTTATTGTTATTTCATAATCCACATCAATAAGGCTGACCACTTTTCAGCTTACTTCTGTATTCAGATTGTTTATGAACATATGAAAATCCACTGCTCCTATTATAGATTTTAGTAATAGAGTATTGCTTTTCCTTCTGTGCTAAAGGTATTTTTTTTATTCCTATTCTACATTTTACATTTCTTGAATAGTTTAGACGACAGATTGACTTCTGTGATTTATTGCTATACAGGTAGTCCTCAACTTACAACAACTGAGCCCAAAATTTATGTTAAATGAGACATTTGTTAAGTGAGTTTTGCCCCATTTTACAACCTTTCTCACCACAGTTGTTAAGTGAATCACTGTAGTTCTTAAATTAGTAACCCAGTTGTTAAGTGAATATGGTTACCCCATTGACTTTGCTGATCAGAAGGTCACAAAAGGGGAACATGTGACCATGGGACACTGCTAGTGTCATATATATGAGCCAGTTATCAAGCATCTGCATTTTGATCACATGACTATAGGGATGCTGCAAAGATTGTAACACTGAAAAACGGCCATAAGTCACTTTTTCAGTGCCATTATAACTTTGAACAGTCACTAAATGAATTATTGTAAGTCAAGGACTACCTGTATTGCCTTCATGACTAATATATTTATGTAATAAGTTATAATAAACTGAATAAATGCATTCTGATATCCAGAAGGAAACAATTTAGAAAGTAACTGTAGTTCAAATTACTCTGAAGAAATCATCTACTCTCCTAACATGTTTTTTAAAAATGGGTGGATATGCAGCTACTTAATTTTCAATGCAATTGTCCATCAGTTCTATATTGGCATGGCTCCTAAGTGCTTTTTGTAAACAATGCTAATTCAAAAACTATCAATTATAGTATCTATATTTCAAAAAACGTAAAGTCCATATTTTCTGATATGAATTAAATGAATTCAAATTATAATGTATCTGCTACAATACATCTGAAAAGCATCATCACTTTCATTTCATAAGGCTATTTTTCATCTGGAAACCCATTCCACGTAAAACAATAATTGTATTAAACATATTTCGGCAGTATTGAAAGTATAGTAAACGTACAGCAGCAATGGACTTGAGTTTGCAATATTCTTTCAGAGATGTCCAGCTGAGACAAATACTTTCTGTGATAAATGAGTACTTCTGAATGTAATTACACATTTTATTTCAATTGTGTCTTTTTGTTATCCCTATTTTAGTTCTACCTTTTCTGATTTTACAGCTTACCATCTTTATAATTTTATTAGGGTTAGAGTTTTATTAGTTTCACAGTAATTAACTGTGTAGCATGTTTAATTTATATATAGTAAAAATCTAAGCACAAATTATTAACTGTGAATAATTAGCCTAGGATTAGTTAAGTAATGCATAGTTATGTCTATTGAACATTCTGGAAAATGAATGGCTGGTTTGAACGAATTTTGAGCAGGATCCCTACAAAGTAAAACGTTTCATTCCTGTTGGTACACAAGCACAATTCTAGAGGTGCAGTAAACCAATTGACTACATTCAGCACCCGGAGAGCAGCGTGAACGTAAAGAAACGTCGTGGTGCCTATAAAGCATTATTCAAAGGCAAGAGATGCTCACAGCAGACATCCCGGTGCAACCCTTCCTGTGATTTTTGTCACTGAACACTGATTGCTTACAACAATCATTAAGCCAGCTAGAACGGCCAATGATAATGGATAAGGGAAAGCATAACACGGAGGTCCCCAAACTTGGCAACTTTAAGACTTGTGGACTTCAACTCCCAGAATTCTCCAGCCAGCTCTGGCTGGAGAATTCTGGGAGTTGAATTCCACAAGTGTTAAAGTTGTCATGTTTGGGGACCCCTGCATAACTCAAAGCATCTGACAGGCATTAGGAAAGGTAAAAGCGACCCTACAGCTGTTTGCTGTAAATTTAACAACCGTTCTGCTGAATGTTTTAACGTATTGGATTTTTAACTTGCCGAGGTTATTTAGAAGACAAAAATGCGGTAATTGCACATGTGAAGAGGCTTGAAAAACGTAGCTGGCCCAAATCTGCGTTAGGGGCAGTACGATATCACCATGCGGTACTTTGCGAGGCAAGAAGTGTGCTCACGCGGGCGGTCCTCACCTGCAAGCCGAGTGCCTCGGCGTTATACCGCTCCTCCATCTCATTTAGCTGCCGCTCCAGGGATTCGTTGGCTCCGCGCAGGCTCTCCACCTCCAAAGTGCGGGCTTGCAGCTGGCGGCGGTACTCGCCGATCTCCTCGCGGCTGGCTCGGATGGCCTCGTTGTTGCGCGCCGCCTGCTCGCTGAGGTTGGCGAACTTAGCGCGGTACCACTCGTCGGCTGCCTGCAGGTTCTTGGCGGACAAGGATTCGTATTGCGAGCGTAGCTCCTTCAGCGCCGCAGTCAGATCGGCCTTGGCGTCCGGCTCGACGGCAGTCAATTGGGTTGGCTGCAAGGAGACGCTGAGCTCGGCCACCTCCTCGGCGTGGACCTTGCGCAGGAAGGCCAGCTCGTCGAGCAGCGCTTCCACCTTCTTCTCCAGAGCCATGCGCGCCAAGGTGGCGCCATCCACCTCCCGCTGCTGCGCGCGCAACGCCTGCTCGGCCTCCGCCTTGGCTCGCGCCTCCTCCTCGCAGTGCGCCCGTAAGAGCTGCACTTCCTCGGCCAGCCGCTCCCTTTCGAGCGCCCCCTGCGCCCGGGCAGCCTCCGTCTCGTCCAGTTGGGCCCTCAGTTCGCGGAGCTCGCTCTGGAAGAGCTCGGCCAGGCCGCTGGGCTCGGCGTGACGCTGCCGCAGTGCACTCAGCTCGGTCTCCAGGAGGCGATTGTGCTGCTCCAGCTGCCTCACTTTCTCGATGTAGCCGGCGAAGCGGTCGTTGAGTCCCTGCAGCTGCTCCTTCTCATTGGTGCGGGTCAGCCGAAATTCGTCATTCACCGCCGCTGCCTGACTGAGATCCAAGGTGTCTGCCTGCGCCAAGCGGTACGAGACGGCGCGGTTGCTACAGCGGGATACCGACTGAGACCGGTAACTGCTGGCTGCGGCCGAACTGCCAAGACGGGAGGAGTAGCGGGGCGGCTCCCCGAATATCTTCCTGTAAGAAGAGGCCAAATAGTGGGAATCCGAAGAGAAATTCATCCTGGAACTTGTGGAGGGCTGCACGCGACGTCCCGGTCTTATATGGAGAGGCGGATCGCCGGTTCCGCTGCAGAAAGGCGGAGGACGTACATTTCTAGGGCGCGGCCAAGGGAAGGAGATTGGTTTTGGGGAAAAGGGCGGGGACGATAATGGGGTGGCGCCAGGATGTTAGGCGTCAATGACAATCTCGATCTTAAACACGTTTGCTTTGACTGCAAACTCTAGGGATGCTAAAGTTTGGCCAGCTTTGGAAGGGAGAAAGTGATTTGGGGTGGGACGGGACAGCTGACAGGAGACACTTAAAAGAATGTAGTCATCGTTGGATTGTTAACTTAAGGTGGTGGTTGACGTGTGTGCCTTCAGGACACAGGGGCAGATAAGTGTAAAGATTAAGTAGTGTTAGGCCAGGTCGGAGGCCGAGAGGTTCTTGGGGCTCTCATCAGAATAAACGAGAGCCACCTAATTGGCATTTAGTATTCCATTAAATAAAAGCCAAGAAGGCAGAAACGGAAAGCGACAGCTGGAGAATAAAAGACAGCTGGTTGCAGAGTTAGTAAAAAGAATGGGTGGAAGACCGAACAATTTCATGTTTGTGGCGCTGCTTTCACTCCCTACTCTTGCTGCACGCATTCCCGGTTGATTTTAACAGACTAGAAGAAATGCTAATGGAGCTGTCCATTTTGCCGCAGTGCTGATGTCGTTCCCTCTCAGCTACCCCTGGCGGATGAAAAGAGCTAGCGCAGTCTCTTTTCGCTTTTACGTTCAGAATCCGTAATAATACAAAGGAACAGTTCTTTTTAGAAATCTGTGTCTATTTTATACTGAATTCCAGCAGTAATACTGGTGTTAGGAGCAAGGGCTTTGTTTTATGTTGCTTGAATACTGCAGTACAAAATGGAACGAGCATATGTACCAAAGACAAATTCCTTGTGTGTCCCCAATCGCACTTGGCCAATAAAGAATTCTATATCAATAAATATCGATTCTATATCAATTCTCTATCAATAAAGAAATTAAAGAAAACCGATTGTGTTTTTAATTGCAGATTAATACTTCATATAAGTTGCCTACTTTTTAAAATATTAGTGTGTGTGTATATATTATTTATTTTATTATCAAAATTTATATGCTGCCCAATCCCGAAGGACTCCGGGCGGCTTACAAAAAAGAGAGAAAAAAAGAGAAAAAAAAGACAGTTTAAAATCNGTCCAGTCCTTGCAGGAGGAGGCTGTGTGCGATGTAGGGAGGCAGGATTCGCCGGGTCCAAGTTTATTTTCCTTAATCCTTTGTAAATTACTGGAAGTCCAGAGTGGTGCAACCTTTCCATTGAGTGTATGAGTCAAAATATGGGGAAGTCCTGCTGGCCAGGGGGCGTTGCCCAAAGAGCTTATCTGATTCATCCAATCATGAGAGGACAAGGTCAACCCATTCTGGATACTCCTCCCCGCTCACTATGGAGAATTAAGTTAGACTATGCACTTTATTTGAGAGAGCAATTGAAAACACAGAGGCACACACATACAATCTTGATCTACTATTTTACTGATTAGTGATGCTTCTTTGCTCTGCTCTTACAATCACCATTGAAATTGTACCACTCAACTTGTCTATGGATTAGAAATTAAACTTCAAAATTTATTATTTTTTCTACCACACCTTGACTAGAGAATGGACTTATCCCAAAAATCATTTTTCTATATTAGTGCTGAACATTCTGAAGTAGTCATTCTGGAGGCTAGGATAGAAAATATTCTGATGATGACTGCCCTGAGAGGGAAAAGTACTCTTCCCCATGGTTGAGAATGACAAGTCAGAAAGATCACTCAAAGAAACAACAACTTTTGAAAATGTAGGTGGGCAGCAGAGATATGTTTATAGCAGTGGTGAAATTCAATTTTTTTACTACCGGTTCTGTGGGCGTGGCTTGGTGGGTGTGGCAGGGGAAGGATACTGCAAAATCCCCATTCCCATCCCACTCTGGGGCCAGCCAGAGGTGGCATTTGCCGGTTCTCTGAACTACTCAAAATTTCCGCTACCAGTTCTCCGGAACCTGTCAGAATCTGCTGAATTTCACCCTGGTTTATAGATTGCAAATACTGACATAGTTCCCAATTATTTTTTCTGATAATACCTTGGTGGGCTGGATGTCCTATCTCAGGTGTTCAAACAGGATTGTATTGTGGTTCGTATTGGGATGTTTTTTGCCTTTGCTGGGGTGGGTGTGGCTTGTATCTGGCCCAATAGGCCTGTCCTATCTCCACTGTAGAAAAGGAGCCTTCATTTAATTTTAATCTTCTGAGCCAGGCCCTTTTTAAGTGGGACATATTCATAGCTATCCCTGAGGTAGAATTCTTACATAGAAAGACCTAGACTTTATTGATAACTTTTCTCCAGCTAACTTACATCTCTAACTGAGATATAAGAAGGGCATGGAGGACTATATGGTAGCTTTATAGGAAGATGTTGATGTTGGGGGGGGCAGCTGAGATAGCAGCATTTCTAGTGTACTGACCTTCAATCCCCTGTAGATGGTTTCAAAGGATAGCTTGATACAAGTCTTGATTTGCCTGGATATCAGTGTGAGCTGCCAAAAGAAACTAGGAGACTGTCCAAGATTGTGAATGCCTCTGTTTAATTCCAGTAGTTTATTGTTCAGATTATATCAATCCTTTTCTAATACAGATTTGGGCCTGGGGCAGAATGGTGGCAGAATTAGTTCCTAGTCCGGATGAATGACTAAATTCACCTTAGCAATGAAGGTTGCGAGTAGCTGCACAGCGATATCTGGCTGGATGATGTAGAATTTCTTTTGGGCAAAGACTATGCCTATTTATGATAATATCTTGGCAAGCAGAAATGTTACCTTCTAACTCAGATGCTGTTTCCAGGGTGGCCTCGCAGGCCAGATCCAAGCACCCCATGGGCTGATTTGGCCCACGGGTCTTGAGTTTGACACCCCTGCTCTAACCGAATGTGTTCTATGCCTATGGATGATTGAGGATGACCTCTCTATTTTAGGGAGATTACTAGACACAGGAGAGACCTCTGCAACTGATGACTGGAACTCAGTAATTTCTGGTCTTGTCTTAGTCATGACTGGCTGGGTGACTTTGAGCCAGTTATTCTCTTTCAACCCAACCCACCTCATAGGGTTATTGTTGTTGTGGGACATTCCTGAAAACCTAAAATGGTTCTTAGTTTGCAAATGAGTAGTCTTCCTCATCATCTTACCATATCAAGGTCTTGAGATACCCTTCGTTTACGCAGTTCTTCCATCCTTTCACATACATCGGTAAAACAGGTATTATAGTAATCTGCATACTGTTGAGCCAGATCATCAATGTTGCCCAGTGACCCATCCTGCAGAAAAATACAGAAGGAACAGAGTGTAAGGATTCAATAATTCTCAGCAAATTTAAAGACATTAATGTAGTTACAGAATGAAGACAGCACTTCAATATCTATAGTGCTCAAAAAGCAGCTAGGATACAAGAAATTCCTATAAATTTCAAAAGATATATTATCAAGATATTATTAGACAATGAGGCTGTGCAATGCTTTAGATTCAGCCTCCAAAAGCATTTTTGGAGCATACAGGAGCCATAAACACAGCACCTTAAAGCAGCTTGGTCTTCTCTCCCAGAACTGTTCAAGGAGCAACTTAATACAATCAAGGATGCTCTTGCCACTTTGTAATCTTTTTTTCTTCTCACTTGGGTTACACAATTCTAAACATTCCAAATAATGTCAATTTGAAAGACCAGTAGAATTTCTTTTGGGGTAAATCTCATGTATACAAAAAGCCCAAAGACATCACTCCTTATTGATGTACCAAATTTTATTTCTAATTAAACTAACATGATTCAGCCAAGTGAAAAATCTAAATTGGAATAAAATGCAATATATTAAATATTGTACTTTGTAAGTATACATAAGACTTAGTTTGTGGTTTAGGAACTGTCAACAGGATTCACAAAATAATATGTTTCTATCATTATTCATATTCCTAATTTGGAAATGGTTGCAAACGACTCTGCCTTGCAATTCCACTCATGTTATTTCACTGGGAAAGACATGTTCCAGAAATAATAGGTTATATTTCATTTGATCCAAGTAAGTTATTGTCTAATAAAAGAAACTTTAACATTAAGTTATCAGCTTCTACACACTTTTTCACAGCATGTTTTTTTCTGGCTTCAGAGAGGAAATAAATCATAAAGAAAAAAATAACATTTTAAGAGGGGGAGAATGGAACATTTATTAAAAGTAAACTATCTATAACATTTTAGGACAATACTTGTACAATATTTTTCATGAGCTTGGCTCATGCACTGGAATACTCCATTTATATGGAGTATAATATATTATATTATATCAGAAATTTTGGTGAAATAATTACACATGCTCTAAATGATAAATTGGTATGAAATTCCTACAGAATTAGTCTGATGATGTGTAAATATCAGAAACATCCATCATGATTCATGTGAATGAAATGAATAACACAAGTTATAATAATCTAATAGTTACTATGCTAGATTTATTAGTTATTGCACATTAGTATGATGAATATGCTGCATTATTTTTAACTGATGTTAATAATAACATAGAACAACTATTCGTTAAATGCTTTGAATTAAATAAATGATGCAAGACTTATGTAAAAAAAGTATTCAGCTCAAAATATTGTAGTTTTAAGTTCATTTACATAACTTTTTTTTTTACTATGTCAGCATCCAAAGTCAGTCTGGCTTTTGAATCAGATAATGTTTTTAAAAAGTTTTGTCATTCTAGTATGGAGTAAATAAGGTTATTTATTATTATTATTTATAAAATTTATATGCCGCCCAATCCCGAAGGACTCCGGGCGGCTTACAAAAAAGAGGGGAAAAAAGACACATAACGAACACATAATGAGAAGAAAAAAACGGTTTAAAATTGAAACACCACATACATTCATTCTAATCGGGGCTGGACCTCAACAGTGAGGTCAACAGCCCCAGGCCTGCCAGAACAGCCATGTTTTTACAGCTTTCCTGAAGGCCATGAGAGTGGGTATGGTCCGGATCTCTGGGGGTAGCTGATTCCAAAGAGTCAGAGCAGCCACAGAGAAGGCTCTCCTCTGGGGGCCCGCCAGCCGACACTGTCTGGCTGACGGCATCTGAAGGAGGCCCAATCTGTGGGATCTTACTGGCCACTGGGAGATATGTGGCAGTAGGCAGTCTCGAAGGTACGTTGGCCCTAAGCCATGTAGGGCTTTAAAGGTAATAACCAACACCTTGAATTGCGTCCGGAGACCAATTGGTAGCTAGTGCAGCTCACGGAGGACAGGTGTAACGTGGGTGTACCTTGGTGCACCCAATATCGCTCACGCGGCCGCATTCTGGACTAACTGCAGTCTCTGAACGCTTTTCAAGGGTAGCCCCATGTAGAGCGTGTTGCAATAATCCAGACTTGAGGTGACAAGGGCGTGAGTAACCGTTTGAAGTGCCTCCCGATCCAAATAGGGCCGCAATTGGTGCACCAGACGAATCTGGGCTCCCCTGGTCACAGCTGACAAGTGGTGTTCCAGTGTCAGCTGTGAATCCAGGAGGACCCTCAAATTGCAGACCCTCTCTGAGGGGCGTAAATTTTCACCCCCCAGGGTTAAGGATGGACTGTCTAAGCTGTCCTTCGGGGGCAGCATCCAAAGCCACTCAGTCTTATCGGGATTGAGCACAAGTTTGTTCACCCCTATCCAGATCCTAACAGCCTCCAGGCATCGGCACATCACATCCGCTGCTACACTGAGCTGGCACGGGGCAGAAAGATACAGTTGAGTATCATCTGCGTATTGATGGTACTTTAACCCATGCTGTTGCATGACCTCACCCAGCGGCTTCATGTAGATGTTAAATGGAAGGGGGGACAAGACCGAACCCTGTGGCACACCACATTTGAGGGGCCTAGGGGTCGACCTTTGCCTCCCCCGACCAACACCGACTGCGACCTGTTAGAGAGGTAAGAGGAGAACCACTGTAAAATGGTGCCTCTCACTCCCACCTCCCCTAGGTGTCGCAGAAGGATACCATGGTCGATGGTATCGAAGGCTGCTGAGAGGTCAAGAAGCACCAGGATAGAGGAATGTCCTCTATCCCTGGCCCGCCAGAGATCATCGGTCAGGACAACCAAAGCTGTTTCCAAAGTTTTAACAGAATGAGAGCAGCAAGCAATACATACACCAAAAATAATATTGATATTGTAAGGTAGCTGGTTATTTTTGTGGGAGAAAGAGGTATGGGGTAAAGAAAGTAAAATTAGAGAGAAGGCTTTATGAAATAAGAAAGCTTTTTTAAAATAGAAGACAGGTCATTTATGTTGTTAAGATTTCCTCCTTGAAGTGTTCACTGAAATATGTTCATCCAAAGATGAACTCTCCTATTTTGTGAAAATAAGTCTGCCTCCATTATATGTTTTGGTTACAATCAGCCTGAAGTAATACTTATAAATCTAGTGTTATTGTTTTGCTGAGATACGGCAGCGTATAGGAAATTGGTGTGCTTTAGATGTGTTGAGATTTCAGACACAGAATTTACATTCAGAATGGTAACAAGATTCTTTCAACAGACTTGGAAGACACCTGGTTTTGGGTAATTGAGCTAAAATAAACAAGAGAAAAATACTACTCTTCCATGGATATAAATATCTCTGTTGATATCCCCACAAGTGCATCTAATAAAATAAAATAAAATAAAAAACCTTAGGGGGTAAAACGCAAAAAACTTTCCAGAATTCAGAATTGGGGACAGAAGGGACTGTAATAAGGCCATCAAGTGCACTCATATCAGAGGTGATTTTCAGCGAACAGTAGCAGCTGCTGATGGAGGCTCTGCCCACCCACCCCGATGTAATGCATGACCTTCTGCCCATGCGTAGAAAGCAATGCATATGCGCAGAAGGTGGCGTGTGCGCTCACATTTGCAAACCGGTAGCAAAGATAAGTCAATCCCACTACTGAATCCTATGTGCAGAATGGAAATCCAAATTGTATTATTTCTGACAAATATCTGTCCGACTTTTGTTTGAAAACATTTAGTAAAGTGCAGTTTGCAACATTTAGGTTTAGGTTTATTCGATTTATATGCCACCCTTCTCCCAAGGACTCAGGGCAGCATACAACGTTAAAAGAAACAAATAATACAAAAGTTANAGATTTTATGTGTTTGTTTTGAAAATTAAAAATAAAAAAACTTAAAAAAAAAGAGCTGCAGAGATTAGTTGATCATCAGAAACACTTTCCCTTGATCACAGGTCCTAACAGAAACATAATGTCCAGCATAACTGATATACTTAAAGGTATATAATGGTCTACTTTTCCTCCAATTTGGCACTTACCCGTCATACTGCGATTACTGCTACCAGGTTTTTCAGCCAATATTGCCGACTGCCTAAAAATTCAAGCAGTTTTCATCTGGCACGGGAGATTTGCCAAATGGCCAAAGGATGGAATTACCTATTTAAAACGTCTGCCTTTTTTTTTAGTAATCACTTTTCACTTGTTCTTTCTAAGCAATCAGATTGACTTGGCAATGATTCCTGTAACCCTCCAACTTGCCATCATTTTTCTGAAGTAATCTGATGTTCAGAATATAAGCCTTTTTCACCCCTCTTTCCAATCTTTTGCCCCTTAAAGATTTCTGCTCAAGGGTGCATGCAATAGGGGCAAAGAGTAATCCTGGTTGAGGATGAAGAATTTTGTCACTTTTGTCACTTCCTTTGATCACTAAAAAGAAGTACAGGTAGCCCTCAACGTAGGGCCACAATTGAGCCCAAAATTTCAGTTGCTAAGCGAGACATTTGTTAAGTGAGTTTTGCTCCATTTTACGATATTTCTTGTCACAGTTAAGTGAATCACTGCAATTGTTAAGGAATTTTATTTATTTATTTTTATTTATTTATTAATTAAATTACTGGTACTTTAATAAGTTTTCTTAAATTAGTTTGCCACCCATCTCGCCACGAGGCAACCTCTTCACCCAGCCCTTCCTGGTATAAATGTTGGAAAAATGTTCCTCCTTCTTTTATACTTTATTTAGTATCATTTATATTGATTCAATGGCTTCTCCATGGCTGGTCTGCCTGGATGCTCATGCACTCTCAAGTAAAAAGCTTTACTTACTTTGCTGTAGGATGTGACAAAGCGGCCAGTGAACTAGCCATTTCATTACAGCTGGAATTTTAGTTCATTTTCATTCTGTGGTATGTGATTTTGGTGAAGCTTCCATATAACAATAACAAAAAAAGTCATAAAATAAAAATCCAATTACAGAAAGTGCAGGATGCTCATATGTTTACAGGATATCTCATTTTATGTCTTCAGT